GCGTACTGTACAGTGGAACCTTATTTAACGAGTTCAGTCCGTTGCAGCAGCAAGCACGTCATGTGAAACGCAGTCAATCAAACTGCATCCGTTCATTGATTGGCTGCAGGCGACCGAGTACCCACTACCTGTGAACAGGACGGACACTGGCACACGCACACACGTACTGACAGCTCGTTAGCTGAGCGGAAGCTCGTCACAATCGAAGTCTGAATCAGATGGTGGCCTCCCAGACCACGTCGCTGAAAAGAACGTGCCACAAAATAAAAGATAATAAAATAATACACTCACCCAAAAGGTAGGAGCATATAGCCGGCCCGGTGTGGTTACAGGGCTTGGCCTCATATACGGGTTTTCCGGAGACGAGAGCAAAACAGAGATTTTCGCTGTTGCCGGCCCGTGCCATTTCTTCAAAGAGCGCCGCGTAGTCGAGGTAGACAGGCGCGCCCATCTCTCTATTGTCATCTGACCGGAGAATGAGCTAAATTAGAGGAAGTGGTTTTAGTAAGCAGCACCAGAGGAGTCTTTCCGCAAATACTTTGGGTATTCAACGGCTATCTTGGAAGCTAGTAGGAAATATTGATGCATAAAAAACAGGAATGAGGACAGGTGGGTGCAGTAGTTTCTGGGACAGAGTAGATATTCGCGAAACCTGTGGCAAACTCAGGTGGCGGACAACTTGACGGGAATTCTGGGTGAAGGAGTTAAATGCAGTCCCTGAGGTAGGAACGTTGGCAAAATGATTAGTGAGGCCAAAAAATATTTTGGACTTATAATGAGAAAGTACTTCATTCTATTCAGTAGGCATACTTTGCGTTTTCTTCCGCCGCACTAAGATGCAGCAGTTGGTTCGAGCACCGGTTATCATCCTTCATCGACTTGCACGTTTAACAGCTCCCCCCTGAACATTGTCCCAGTCACCTTGCCTTCACCATCCTCTTCATCGAAGCACATTAAAGCGTTTCTTGTCAAACAGGCGATCAAATGTTACCTCACGCAGACGTCCTTTTGAGCCAGACTGGTCATGTGACGTTGGGAATGGCGGATCCCAACACCCATAACGCCCTCTCATCATAAACCCTTTTTGAAGTGAAGGATTCCCTTGACGGTCGCCCGAACGATAAAGGGGTTGTAGAGTGCACGAAGGTGCTTTATTAAGTCCAAAATTAGCACAAAAAGAAAGTACTGTATAGTTTGAATTTTCCTACACCGCATGCTAGAAGCAAAGTTAATAATCATACCTTGTTGTGCCACAGCGGTTCACCTTGCGCTCACTTTCGCTCGAGGTAAGCGAACACCCCCACCCCCACCCCCCACCTCACACGCTCTCGTTGTTGCTCCAGTGCGATTAGTAATATTGTTAATAAGTATGCCTACTGATGGAAGTAGCTTTTCATTATAAGTCAATAAATACTTTTAGGCCTCGTTAATCATTCTTGTGGGAACGTTTATGGCACTGCTGATTAGCTGGCTTCTGACGATTCAGCCGTACTGAAGGGCGATGTAGGTATGTTAGAATAGTTTCCACTTAAATTATTATTTTAGAGTTACTTAGGACGCACTCTTCAGTCACCTTTGAGCAGACATATGAGGCATGTAGATGTGGGGTAGCAACAATGAAGCAGATGACGACAGGCTTGAGTAGGAATCGGAAGTGTCAGGCTAGTAAAGCTCCCATGGTAGCGATCGCGTTCCTTTTTTGAGGAAAAGGGAGTCTAAGATGGCTACTTTTGCCTTAAAGTCTGTCGTTAGTCAGCACGGATTCGGACCCAGACTCTTGGGCACTGAAAGTTGGAGCCAAAAGCCCTAACATAGCGCTACGGGCACAATGGCCTGCCGGTTCTGATCGGCAACAATAACAATGCTGGAATGGTCGTTCACCTATCAGGTCGGAGGAAATGGTCTTTTCTATGGGCCTTAGGACTCTATCTAGGTAGCGGTCAAACGAGAAGGCGTATCGGGTCCCAGATCCTCAAAACTAGCATTGCGTAAA